CTGTTTCAGTCCATATAGTGACTTTTTAAGTTTCCATACATAATTATCGCCTTCTTTAAAACCTTCTGGCGGTTCTATATATATCTCATAATCGATGGCAGCATTCAAATAAGCTGCTTTCACATCCATATGGTGTATATCCATGCCATAATGTGCGGCCATTTGCATCAAAATTCTAATTGTTGTCATGTTTGTTGTTGGACTGAATGTTTCTACGTAATCTTCCCCGTATATCTGCGAAAAACCTTTAGCTACAAAACGAGCCTTGTATAGTGGCGATCCATCCTCAGTACGCTTTACATTATAAACCCAACGGCTGCCAATAATATTTTTATCATCCGGGGGGCCTTTTTAATTTAAACGTGTCGTTTAATACTAATGATTGAATTTCTTTCCGCATGGCAGCCATCCACCGTCTAGCATTGATAGAATGTATGGCCTCTTGGTAATTCTTTGGGATACATTGCACCGAATAACAACAGTCAATGTCGCAGGTATTACATTGGTCCATTCCAAAATAATCTGGCTTTCTTCTATCCCTTGTCGGGTAACGCGGAATTTTTCCCCCCTCATCAGTTGTATTTTCCTTTAACTCAAGTTTTGCATCCGATTTTTCCTCGTCTACAACATCTGGTGTAATACCTTCCTCTGATTGTGGATTATGGACGGGTTTTCCACTCATAGACCCATAATTGGGCCATACTAGCTCGGGTTGCACCAGTTCGTCGCGGTTAACATTCGTTTCTTCGTGTTCCACCCGTCGCTCAAAGGAATCTGTAAATCTGACGCATCTAATCTTCCTTACTGTTCTAGTTTCTGGAAAATAAATCATATAGGCTGGACTTGTCTTGTCATAACCAATGAATATGCCCCTTTCACTTTTTGGATCTAGTTTCTCCCTGTGGTCAACATATGAATAGCAAATTGTACCAAAAATATGCATATCACTCACATTGGGCTTAAAGTTTGTATAAGCTTCGTAAGGAGTTTTTTTTAATGTTACTATTATAGCAGCGGTTTCTTATATATACCGCCGTGTTCAATGCATAAACCCAGAGATTTTGGGGCAAGTTAGATTCTATTAACAAACATCTAGCCATTTCAAACAGTGTCCTCCAACTGCGCTCAGCAACTCCGTTTTGATGTGGTGAATAAGAACAAGTTTTCTCATGTTTAATGCCTTCATTTATCAGGAGGTTTTTGTAAGCATCAGAAGTAAATTCGCCACCATTATCGGTCCGAATTATTTTTACCTTTCCATACGGGGAGATATCTGATAAATAGATTTTTGTAGCTCGCAGTGTGTCAGACTTATTTTCAGGAAATATACCATAATAAGTCCTGAATATTCATCTACAAAGTTTAATACATATGAGTAGGTGTCAATACCCTTTGGGGTAATTGGACCCGCTAAATCGCAATAAACTCTGAACAAAATATCTGTTGCTTTTGGGATCCGACCCTCTCTCTATATTTCGTCATTTTACCTTTAATACACGTATCACAATATTGCAAGCCCTTTGGAGTGTAATTTTCATTCCAGTGACGTGTTCTTGTAATTTTTAACATCCGAATCATTACAGTGGCCCAATATTTTATGCCAAGTTCTTAAGTCATGCGTGGCTGTCCTCGCTGACTTAATACTTTTCAAATAATACAAACGTCCATTTTGCTGTATATTAAATTCAGTTCCGTCTGGATATGTTAACTTTGAATTGTCGCGATGAAAACTGATTTTAACGCCAGTTTCAATTGCAGACTGAACTGAGAAAATATTTTGCTTAAATTTTGGAATATATAAAGCCCCTTTTAATAAACATTCACAAACATCTCCCTTGGTATTGCGTAGATAAATACAGGCATCGCCTCTTTTCAAAACCAAATTATTAGCTCTGGTCCCATCAGCTAACTCGATAAAATGCGAGTCGGGCTGAAAATTGGGGTAAAAACTAATAAATTTTGTTTTATCTGTAATTACATGATTTGTCGCTCCCGTATCGATCAAGTAAGAATCACAACTGCTGACCACAGCACCCAATCCAAACGAAAAGGCATATGTACATCCCTTCGAAGAAGCTTGTACATTCTTACAATAGTTATTCCGGGCATAAAATTGACATTTCGCACGAGTATGGCCGACATTACCACAACGAAAACAAACGATATCCTTACTATATCCGCCTTTATAATTCCTGTAATAATTGCCTCTAAAGCCCCTGTTCCTACTCTCATAGTTCGTAGTCTGATTGCTTTGAGGAACTGGTCTTCTGAGTTTTTAAATGACGTTCTTAATTGCATGACGTTATTGCCGTGATTTTGGTGGGAACACATTTTTCAGTTTCTTCATAGCTACGTAACGCCATTTTAAATTCAGTGAAAGTTAGTTGTTTATCTTTTTGGGTTATAACTGTCGTAAATGGTTTGAATGACGGTGGCAAACCCTTCAAGACCATGGCTATTAGCAGCCCATCCGAGATGGTCTCACCTGCAATTTTTAAAGCATTCGTAACGTTCTCCGCTCGAATAATGTAATCGGTTATAAATTCGTTTTCTCGTCTTTTCAATGCGGTTAATTCCGTATATAAGGAAATAATTTTAGGCTTACCTTTTGACAAATAGTGTTCACGCAAAATCTGTAGAGCTCTTCGGCCATTATCCTTGGCCTCTCTCATTATTAAAGACAAACTACGGTCATCCAGGAATTGTATTAACTCTGCGTAAACGGTCGGATTTCTTTCCATGAAATCATGCCCCTCCTGGTCGAGTTTGCAAAGGATGATATCATGGAGTTTTTGTATTCTGAGGTAGCCCAAAAACTTCGTCTCCCATAATTCATATCTCGATTCATTTCCGTCAAAATATAATCGTGATCTGGGCTCATAACCCATGTTAGACATTTTCATGACGGTCGATCCTCGAGTATCGCATCCAAAGGTTGGCAGTGAATATTTCGGAGACAGTAGGAAAGCGTAGTGAAGGTTCGCAGTGGATATCACAGCAGAGTGTAGTTCATCCTTCTCCTGGTCGCCTTTTGTCCTTCTGGTAGGAGGAAACAAGATGGCCGCCTTTATACACTATGAATATAGTGTTGGGCGGCTTCTGATTGGTCAACCTTCTATTGGTCGACTATAAAGGGAAATAAGTCATTCTGACTCGCTCACTAGTTACACACGGTATATACCCAAAAAACCGTTACAAATGATAAACAAATGAATCATAAACGGATTTGTTCATCGGGTTAGATTTTCATTTTGGTGATAAATATTGACGGAAGAATAATATTTCTTGGCTCGACCTATTTCCCAAAAACTAAAAAAGCCAACAAAAGCTTCTTTTTTTTCTTTTTTTTTTTTTCTTTTGAAGGACTTGAAGGAATATTAAATATGTTTAAAGTATTTACCCTGTATACTTTGAAATGTATACCTGATACGGATTTCTAAATTCTTGCATCTGCGATATATTGAACACAAATATAAAATTCAGCTGATAGTATCGATCTGCAAATAGATTGTTTAACTAGCGGCATCAGTTTTTGCTTTCTGGGTGCGGATCACACTGGATTTGAAATCCAAAGGAAATTTTTGCGCATTGTTTCAGATTCACACGTTGTTATTTTCGTTGTTTCTGGTGTTTTTATAGTCTCTGATTTTGTGAAGTTTTCTGCTATTTTATTTGCAAAATTTTGGCAATTAGTATTTATAAACTGATATGAATAAACATTTTATTCAGTTCGTAATAATGCTGTAATTTAATATAGAAATATTTTATAAAACATTACTGCTTTTAATATTTATATGATCTAGGAAATATTACATTTATACTATTGCCGAATTATTTTTTCTTAGTTATTTTTTTGACCATGATTCATCGAAGAATTCATGATTAGTAAGTAGTACGTCACTGGGACTAAACAGATCAACAAGAGATGTACATCACTTTAATAACATAGTAGTCAACAAGGGATAAAAGTATGCTTCCTTCAGGCATGTTAGAATAAATATAAGAAAAAAGTCATGGGTGTTTTTAGTCAAAAAACAGATTTCATATAAAGTTTTACAACAGTTTTCCATGAGTGGCTAATAAGATTTAGTGTGTTTCGGTTAATAGAGATCCTTTATTTCGCTCACTGGGGTAGACTGTTCTAGTTCCACGTGCCATGTCTAATGGATGTCAGTTATCAGTTATCTCTTCAAGGACACATGTCATAGTGGATAAAGGCGTTAGTTAGATCCAGTGACAAGACCCAAAGAGTATGAGTTCAATACCTGGTTAAGGCGGTGGAGAACTTGGAGACGGGAATTAACAGGAGATATCTGATAACTGACATCTATTAAACATGGCACGTGGAACTAGAACAGTCTACCACAGTGAGCGAAATAACGAGTTCAGTTCGACATTCCAACTACATGAAGAAATCCGGAGCGTACAGCGACCGAAACGTTGTAATAAATATGGCGACAAAGATGAGTGTAAATAAATTGTTCAATTTTGGTGAAGAAAATTCTTAATGTTTTTGTGTGTGTATATACGTGTGTGTGTGTGTGTATGTTGGTGGGTGGGTGCATGCGCGTGCAGGAAGAATTGTCTTTACCGAGAGTAACAGAAAATCATCTATTGATTGGTGTGAAACAGGATGAATGAACTTAGTTGAAAGTGAGCGACCGAACTATGGTTATATTCCTGATTCCATCTAATTAGAACCAACATTTTAGAGGTGCTATGTAGGTGAAGTCGAGGGATTTTTCGAATGGGTGGAAACAGTTCTAATACATCCTAAAATGTTTTTATTTAATATTTTTCTGACATCACCAGAAGTAATGCGCGGAGCCTATGCGCAGAAGACACCCAGAACACTCTCTCTGCCAACAGCAGAATGTGCACTAACATGATTCAAATCACTTCAGAGTTCCGAATGTTATTTGCATAAGTGAATATAACAAACCCAACTGGAATTGGAAAATGGCTCTCCGATTAACAATTACACCACCCGCACATCCAAGCTTACAGCACCTGGTATTCCCAAGCATTCTCCCATCTAGCTACTGACCAAACTTGACGTTGCTTCACTTCAGTGATCGTATGGGAACCGGTTATTTCAACGTGATGTGGCTGGAAGCCTCTCTAAGTCATGTCCACTTGATGATTTTGTCATGCAACCTTCTTCGCTGGTTTCCCTTGATTCTTGGTCGAGCAACCGACCATGTATTAAATAATTCTTTTTCGATTCGTTTGTGTTCATATAACTTAAGGGTTTCACTTTTTATTAAGGGGAAGATTGGGGGCCACACCAGTTATGTTCAGAAGATCTTTTAGGGGATTTTTGGCATAAGTTGCATGATTCTGGAATGTTTCCCTTTACTTAAAGTGTTGTAGTCCAGTTTAAAAATGCCATAAAGCAGTAGAGAGGGAAGAAATCTTTCAAACAGCGATCTGAATAATCGAGATTCAAATTATCCCAGCAATACGCACAGAGCGTCCTCAGCATGACGATAAACTACATCCGGCAGCAAGGCCCCGGATCTGAAGGTTTTGAAGAGAATGGAATCACCTCTTAATTGCTCTTATTCCTAAGTTCCCTCCTGACACAGGATGGTAGCCGCTTTTAGGGTCTCAGCTATGGGCAAATAGTTTACCCCAAAACTGGGGTCAAAACGCTATGAAACTATAAAAATAGATTTTATAGTAAAAATACCAGCAATATATTTTTGAGAAAAATATATTATCGGCACTACATTTTGGAGAAAAAATATTACCAGAAATACATTTTAAAAAAATTACCAGCAATACATTTTTAAAAAAATTACCACCAATATATTTGATTCTTGACAACAGCCCTCTTTATAAAAATACGTCTATGAAACCTGATCTACAAACTGATTTCTTACAAAGAATACATGTTCTATTCATGCGAATCTATTCTAAAAATATTGCCTGCATTAAATAACCCATTGTGGTTGATATGCCGTAAAACAAAATTAACCAAAGCAATACGAATGGAGGCGAATCACACCTGTTACCAAATACAATAAAAGCTGAATGTATATGTAAAGAAAACTGGTTATCTTTGTCACTCTCAAATAGACTTTCCAAATGACAAATGACATTCCGTAATCAATAAACATACGTCTTCAGGAAAGATAAGGTCGATGGAATGAACGACGCTTATCAGAAAAGGCGTGAGGCAAGAAGTTGGGTAATGTTAGCTAAAAACGTTCCACATAAACCAAGAGAGACATCCTGACAGATGTGATTTCTTTTCTCAGACTTGCCAGTGTAACCTGTTGTTGTCACTCGCCCTCTCCCCCCTCTCTCTTCATTATCGCTGACTCAGCCTATGACAATACACTCACCCTCTCTCAGCCTCTCTCTTCATTATCGCTGACTCAGCCTATGACAATACACTCACCCTCTCTCAGCCTCTCTCTTCATTATCGCTGACTCAGCCTATGACAATACACTCACCCTCTCCCCCCTCTCTCTTCATTATCGCTGACTCAGCCTATGACAATACACTCACCCTCTCTCAGCCTCTCTCTTCATTATCGCTGACTCAGCCTATGACAATACCCTCTCTCACCTCTCCCCCTCTCTTTCATTATCTCAGCTGACTCAGCCTCATGACAATACACCACCCTCTCTCAGCCTCTCTTCATTATCGCTGACTCAGCCTATGACAATACACTCCCCCCTCCCCCTCTCTCTTCATTATCGCTGACTCAGCCTATGACAATACACTCACCCTCTCTCAGCCTCTCTCTTCATTATCGCTGACTCAGCCTATGACAATACACTCACCCTCTCTCAGCCTCTCTCTTCATTATCGCTGACAGCCTATGACAATACACTCACCCTCTCTCAGCCTCTCTCTTCATTGTCGCTGACTCAGCCTATGACAATACACTCACCCTCTCTCAGCCTCTCTCTTCATTATCGCTGACTCAGCCTATGACAATACACTCACCCTCTCTCAGCCTCTCTCTTCGTTATCGCTGACTCAGCCTATGACAATACACTCACCCTCTCTCAACCTCTCTCTTCATTATCGCTGACTCAGCCTATGACAATACACTCACCCTCTCCCCCCTCTCTCTTCATTATCGCTGACTCAGCCTATGACAATACACTCACCCTCTCTCAGCCTCTCTCTTCATTGTCGCTGACTCAGCCTATGACAATACACTCACCCTCTCCCCCCCTCTCTCTTCATTATCGCTGACTCAGCCTATGACAATACACTCACCCTCTCTCAGCCTCTCTCTTCATTATCGCTGACTCAGCCTATGACAATACACTCACCCAATCTCAGCCTCTCTCTTCATTATCGCTGACTCAGCCTATGACAATACACTCCCCCTCTCCCCACCTCTCTATGCTACGACTCAGTGTCACAAATAAAAAAACAAACTGAAGGTTAAAAAGTTGAAATCCCATATATTACGGGTAGAGTAATTGGCCAAGGTCAAGTGTAATTGTCAGAAATGCCCAACAAACAGAATTGATAAACATTGCATTAAACTATCATAAATGAGTGAAATTAACAGAGGAGAAGTAATATTAAACCAACAATATGTGTAAGGCACAAGTCGAGAAAAAAGGTTCACAAACTAAGAATGTGTTAACATAAAAAAGGGGATGCAGACAAGTGATCGCAGCGTTATGATTTCAGTAAAAGAAAGAACAGAAATATATCGGGTTAGAAGTACTGTTTTTGTTTTTTTACAGTAACGTTGACAGACTACAAGGCCCGGGGCCACTCGAGGTAGAGTTTTACATTAAGAGGCGGTTTATTTTGATAAGAGGGAAAGATAACGGTTAAACCTAAACTTGAACAGGTTAAAATTGTAATGATCGGGGAAACATAATCTTGGGAGTCAGTTCCATGGAATAGTGTTTCGTGGGAAGAAGCTGTTCGAGTGGAACATACTTCTCAATTGAATATAGTGGAAATGTGTGTGAGCAGCTATAATGTGAGCGGCATGGCCAACCCGAGCCATGAAGGTTAGAACTGGCAGAACCAAGGAATGTAGCTCTTTCGAGCACTTTCCATGGAAGTAGCGAGAGAGCAGTAAGGGGCTTGCCACATCCAGTCTGAGTGTGTGTGTGTCTGTGTGAGAGAGAGAGAGAGGGGTGGGTGGGTGATAGGATGGAAAATAATTCATCACCCACAAGGAGTCGGAGACGCTTTCGAAATTTATCGAGACTGGGCAGCTCCCGTCCAAATAAGACAACAGTACTCAATTCTAAGCCTCATCTGGCTCTTGTAAAGTTAGAGAATAGTGTGAGGAGTCAGGTACTTACTGGAGCGGTACAGGGAACTGACCATTTTTCCTGCTTCTTCGTATCGTATCTACCAGCTCCTCTTGAGGTCAGGTGTGAATTTAAGACGTAATAGTCTTTCAAAGCACGGAACCTCTCCGTGAGGACATCCATTCATCGTAACTGGCGTTAGTTAGGAGCCCGATCTGCGAAATGGAATGTAACTAGTTTGGTTTTAAAGACATAACCAGTCAACCCTCCACTGCGAAGTTGTTACTAGATCGGATGAGGGGACAGTTGCCAATCTCTGATCATCAAGAGTTTTAGAGATACGCATGTAATTGGCTAGGTTGTTATCCCAGCATGCATTCGTATGTTTTGCCTATAAATTTGTGGACGGTGGTGTCTTTGCAGTCATTCGAACAAAAGATTAAAAACAACAAAACTTTTGTTTTGACAGTTTCATTCTGTTTGGTGCGTTCACCAAACATGCTTGTTTTACTTTCTGAGAAGAACTGATCACATTATTCAATTATTTGGACGTAATTTCTACGTTTTTCATAATATCGAAGTCGAGAAATAAACATTGCCATTAGTCTGTGAATTATTGGAATTATTATTTTCATCTTTAGTGTTTATGTTTTGTAAATTTTATTTCGACCGCTGCGTTCTACGGTTTTCTTTCTAAACATGTTGTATTTTGTGTTCCTTTAATCACGTACAGTCTTTGTGTTCAATTTCCGCTACCAGTCTCATTTTTGTTTATTCCCACTTTTCAGCTTCAAATATTCAAAGCCGTTAAACAAAAATATCGACTGAAACATTATCAAAAGATGAAACAAATGAAATGCATAACAAAGAAATGTCTATTTTACAATGTTTGTTGTCAATTAAAGATTTCATTAAGTTTCATTGTCATCGATACCGGTCATGGCTATAGACGGTAATTTTGTTTACAGTAACTGCGTAAATTACAATTAGTAGCGTAAAATAAAATAAAATATATTTTATTTGTTCCCGGTAAGTCCTCCCAATAGAAAATGAAAAATGGAAAGAAATATGAAAAATAGGTAAATATAATTATTCTGTGAAATTTCTTTTTCAAAGCAATAAAATATTTTTATTGTCCGGATATTAATAATAAAACAGAAGGTATTGTCTTACACCGAATGGTTACAAGTGGTAATTGTTACTATAAAAGATACATTCCGTCAAATCGAAATCAGCTAGAACTTTCCTTTTCTAATAAGGAAAAAAATGTTTTTTTGGCATCTCATTCTTCATTTGAATTCACTAAATATTCTTGTTCTATGTGCATTGCCAATTGTGGCTCTCCACAACTTCCTATCATCTGTAACTCTTATAAATATTTGTCTTTATTACTATTCTACTGCTATTCATTTAAATTAGCTCGTTAGGTTGATGGCTGTTGCCGCTTTTCTCTCTGGCCTTAGAACACCTGAGAGTTGTACACGAAATTATTTGGCTGTGCATCGCGAACAAACACACTTCTTGTCATTTATGCATATAGATTGTACAAGTCTGATGTAGACTAATATAATGGAATATGCATACACCTGAGTTCCCCCTCACTGGAATATTATTGGCTGGTGTCCGTCATAAATACAGACGGACGTGTAGCTACGACAGAGTTTAAGTTTATGACGACGCCCATTGGTCTACGCCATTGGCTATTCTATTCGTCTACACTTATTACCTGCGACTACAACGAGTACCAGTCGATTACTGCTACCGTGTACTACTTGGTTACAGTAGCCATAACCTACTTAGCTACTTCGATCAAATATATTCCTTTTCGGGACATATCATAGACAAACATGACTGCAGCAGTAAAATC